ATAAGAGTATTTCATTATGCAAATCGCCAGCACTTTAACACTTTATAGATTATATTCACACGGCACACGAGCTGAGGGGACGAATGGAGAGCCAGCCTACACGCTGCTTTCCAAATGCTATGACCTAGTGCAGAAAACATCCCAAAGGGTCACCTTTTTCTAGTCTCCACAGAGGGGTAAAGGCAGCCCTGCTTGGTATGAATCAATATTACTACAGTTCTTTGAAGTTGGGATTATTGTCATTACTAGCACAGAGAGGCTGGACTATCTGTTGAACATCTCACTGCTCATCAGAGAGAACTGGGATTTACATCCAGGTCTAATGAGTCAGTTCAGTTCTTCTTTCTCTTTCCCATGGTTGGATCTTCCTTTCCCAGAACCTGGCCCTGTGTAAGCACACATTCCTGGAGTGAGGATTTGTAGGTACCAGTAATTTTATGGTATGAAAATTCAATCTCCAGTATTGATCACAACCTCTTCAAGTTATTGTTCACCTTTGAAGCAACTCCAGTGGTGAGTTTTTAATTAACAAAAATTGTAAGCCTTGGTTGCCAAATAAGTTTCGAGCTATCATTCCAGCTTATGTATTTAGAGGGAGCTCTAAAAACATCTGTAATCACAGGTTGACCAGGAAAGTACTATGGCACTATTCCAAAATTGAGGATGAAGTCTACTGATAAGTGTTCCCTATCAGGTCAAGATTTATAAAAGTACATAACCTTGCAGTCTGTTAACTCGTAACCACTCAAAATTGACGGTTTTCACACCATAATGTAATAATTTTGTGTTATAACATGGATGTTCGTGAAGTAATTCTAATAATTCTCGAAGAGCTTCACCTTCTGAGGCATGGTGCTAAAGGAGATACTTTGTGTTATAACATGGATGTTCGTGAAGTAATTCTAACGATTCTCGAATAGCTTCACCTTCTGGTGCTAAAGGAGATATAACAATAGGAAGGGTCAAAGAGTCATTTTCATGCACCCAGTTTTCTAAGAATCATGGTCACTGCACTGGTTAATCAGGGTCAGGAGTATCTCTATTTGTGTTTTTTTTTTTCCATTTCCATATAGTTTGCATGATCCTGTAGGAGGAGGCTCAGACTGGAGTGAGCATCTCTGGAGCTGTTGATGAGCAAGGAAGTAAGACAAAAGAGGTGGTTAGGAGTGCATCTGACATGGCCCTGTTATAGACGTGAGAGCAACAGAGGTACTTGAGGTTGGCTCTAGTGTCTACTAATTTACATTTTCTAAATCATATATATACACACACACACACACACACATATACATACACACACACACACACACAGTATGTTGAACATAGAACCCTAGACCTGGCAGACACCATAGAAGTCATCTGCTTTATATTCTGGGCATTCCTGAGAGGTGTTCGCCCAGTCTGTGCTCTGAGTGAAGATGTCAGTATCTTCCATTGTTGAGGGCCGTTAAATGTTGAAGTGGTTTCCTGCTTAATGAGTTGGATCCTCTCTTCCTGTGACTTGCAGCCACGAGTCCTACTAATACCTTCATCATGTAACTAGCTTCAAGCAACACATTTTAACATATCTGAACTCTGCCATCATGGCTACAGGTAGTGTTTAGTTTTTCTACTTCTTTTAATTGATACCCACAGGGCATGGTTGCCAGAACCTTCATTGTTCCCTTTGCACTGCTCTACGTGGGTCATGTATTTGCAGAATTCTAGCATGGGTGTGTGGGGTCAGTGTCCCCTAATCTGCAGCATGGAGTGGTGTGAATTTTGGGGGGAGCTATAGCGCATTGCCCCTTTGACAGGATATAATTTCCTTTCTGACTTGAAATAGCTGAACATTGGGTTGTAAGTGTAGCACGCTTCTCCTGGATTGCTTATGCACAAGGTATGCTGTGAAATGAGAGACTGGCTTTCTTTGAAAATGTGGTGAATGATTCACATAGGAGAAATTCCACTTGTGTTTTTCACTTGTAAAACTCACCTCAATCTGGGCATAAAAATATAGTTAGGCAGAATCAGTCTGTGTCCATGTAATTATGTCTCATGGAGAAGCAGAATCCTCCCGTCTGAGAGGAGACTCTGAATTCCAGCATCCTCTTCTATGTGGTCTCTCCCATGTGGCCTTTCGGCATGGAGGAGAGAAGATCCTTCCTCTGCCTTCATTTCCTCTAACTATTTCCCACAGCCAGGGAGGACCTCTGGTATTGGGTAGTCTCATGCGAGAGCCCTGAGTATGGCCACAAAGATCTCTCGGGTGGAGTTTATGGCCACACGTTGAAAGCTCTTCATAGCTCAAACACTAAAGGGGTACATACCTAGAACTTAGTGCCTTGCTGTAAGCCTGCCTTCATCCCTTGCAGCCTGTTCTCATGCTGTGCAGACCCAGTTTTGGGAAGAAACACAGTGTCTGGTACCACCTACACGGCCGTTTATTTCATCAGTTTGGATGGCTTGTGCTGCTCTTGGCTGTGGACCTGCAAAAACAAAGCCATGGGATAAAGCGGCCCAAGTCCTGTAACGAAAACCTGGTACCTTTTGTGAGGCCCGGTAGAGAGACATGGTTTATTTTCGCTATACCAAGTCAAACATTCTCGGAATCCAAGGTGAAAATTGGATTTTAACTGCTACTAAACGTTTGAGCACATAAAATCAGCAAGTGTTGAGAGTTTTGCATGATGAAGAGAAGAACCCGAAGAGCCTGATATAAGAATGATCAACATGTGACGTGCACTGGTGTCTCACATAAGTCTGATGGATAAAACTGGAGACAGCAGATCGCCACAGTGGAGACTGCTGTGTCCTTTTTTAAAATATTTTTTTCAATTACAGTTTGTATTCAATATTCTGTTGTATTCGTCTCAGGTGCACAGCTTGGTGGTTAGATAATCATATACTTCATGAAGTGTTCCCCCCTGGTATGTCTAGTACCCACCCAGCACCATACATAGTTATTCCAGTATATTGACTATATTCCCTAATGCTCTAGTTAAATCCCTGTGACTATGTTGTAACTACCAGTGTGTACTTCTCAATCCCTTCACCTTTTCTTAACATGACCATTGTGTTCCTAGTCGTATGCCTGGAGCATGACTGCCTCTTCCTTCTTCCTTGCCTTGCATTTCCCATTGCAGCCTCTGAGGTTAAACTGAAACCTAATGACTTCAAAGCTATGATATAACTGAAAATTCATTAACTGTGCTGGGCCACCCCTGGTTTCGTTTTTCAATTTGGTCACTTGGCGCCTCAGTCAGAATGCGGCGTGCGCGGACCCGTGGGAAGAAGACTGTCCCTGGAGGCTGCCAGGCGACCGTGTCTACTCCCTGCTGCCCTTGGAAGGCACACCACCTGCCCGACTTGCTGCCACAGTGTCCCACTCACTGGCCTCTGTGCATTGGCTGATTCCCTTTGCTTTTCACAGAGCCACTGCTCGCCTGGGTGGATGGCAGCTGGCTCCTCCCGCCCTCCCTCCCTCCCTCCTTCCCTCCCTCTCTCCCTCCCTCGAGCATTTATTGAGCATTTTCGGTGTGCACTGTGCACTGGAATATAAAGGTAAATAAGATTCGTCCACATTCAAATAAAACACATTGCAGAGGCTGTGGGACTGTGAGAAAAGTGCCGGAGGAAAGAGGAGGGAGGAACTTGCTAAAACTGAGGAGACACGAGGCTTCCCGTGACGGTTCCCCAGAGTTGGGGCTCATGAAATAAGAAAGTTTCTCTGGGCAAAGGAAAAAGGGAGGGCCGTCAGAGAGAGAAGGCACAGCTTTCGGAAAGACAGTTTAGAAAACTGTAGTCTTTTAGGATACCTGAGGATGGGTGTAGAGAGGTGAAGGGGGGCAGAGAGAAAGTCAGAAAAGCTGTCTTAGGCAGGAATAGGAAGGGCCTTCTGTGTCATGCCAGGGCGTTTGCAGCCTTCAGACAGTGGGAGTCACTGCCGGCGTGTCATCTGTGGAGGAATGTGATCAGATTTGTCTTTGGAAAGATGACTCTTGAAACCGCTAGAGGATTTTGTGGAGGCTGAGGCAGATGCAGGCCACGGACTGACCCCTGAGATGTGGGCTTAGCCTGCACAGCTGCCCTCAGGATCGGCACACAGAGCAGGGTCTGCTTTCCTAGACCTTCCCAACCTCACTGAGTTGGTCTCTCTTCAGACCCCTGCCTCTCAGCCTCTCTGACCTCCTGTGGTTGACCAAGGCCATGAGATGGAACTTTACATTGGGCAGCTCCAGGTGGTCAGTGGCCTCCAGCCCTGCTCTTCTGCCTCCTGGTCTCGTTTAAACCTGCCAGTGTCTTCCTTCAGCCTCGCTGACCTGTGGTTGACCAAGGCCATGAGATGGAACTTTACATTGGGCAGCTCCAGGTGGTCAGTGGCCTCCAGCCCTGCTCTTCTGCTTCCTGGTCTCGTTTAAACTTGCCAGTGTCTTCCTAGCTTGGCCGACCTCCTACGTCAGTCCGCTTGGCTGCCTGATGCCTTCGCCACTGCTGGAGCTGTGAGAGCTGATCTGGCTCAGCCAGTGAGCATTTCGTGTATTGTCCTCTCTGTTCTTTCCCTGCCCGGGCCCTGGGGTTATAGGGAGACCAACAGCCCCTTGTAGATGGGCTCTGTGCCACATTCTCAAGGTTTACACACCTGCCCTGCCCTTGGAGTGCTGTTTGCTGATGATCCGCTGATAGTTGAAACTAAAATTTTAAAGGTTTATATTGATCTTTTACATTTTCAGGTTCTATTAAGAGAAAAAAGGGCTTGGAAGCGTAAGTTTTATAAAGTGCTCTGAACAGTGACAGATTCTCATAAGACTAACAATGCCAGGAAGCTCTAGAAATATGCCTGTTCATTTCAATGTGGTCTTGACTCCGTCATGGTGTTCTGTTTTGAAGTTGTTTTTCCCCTCTCTAATTCTGTTGATAACAACATGACTGTTTTATAATGTGGCTGAAGCTTAGCAGTGCTCTAGAGTGGGGCGTCCTGCACTCAATTAACCTGCGTATTTCACACCCCATCATTGCAGTGTGGCAAAGCGCTCCCTGGCCTCTCCAAGCAGGAGGACTGCTGTGGAACCGTGGGGACCTCCTGGGGCTTTCACAAATGCCAGAAATGCCCCAAGAAGCCATGTAAGTGACATGTCCTCTTTCCTTTGCAGGTTAATGTAGCACATCTGTTTCCTTATGATCACTGTTTTAATGGTGGGACATTCAACTTTCAAAGAACTCTTACTGAATTGTAGAACATCATGCAAAAATTTGCACTTCCAAAAACCTTACAGGTCTGAGAAAAGTTTTATACCCGTTCTGTGGGGGGTTTTTTTGTGTGTGTTTTTTTTGTGTGTGTGTGTGTTTTTTGGTGTGTGTTTTTAAAAAATATATTTTTATTGATTTCAGAGAGAGGAGAAGGATACCCGTTCTGTGGGGGGTTTTTTTGTGTGTGTTTTTTTTGTGTGTGTGTGTGTTTTTTGGTGTGTGTTTTTAAAAAATATATTTTTATTGATTTCAGAGAGGAAAGGAGAAGGAGAGATAGATAGGAACATCATTGATGAGAGAGAATCATTGATCAGCCACCTCCTGCATGCCCCCTACTGGGGATCGAGCCACAATCCAGGCATGTGCTCTGACAGGGAATCAAACCGCAACCTCCTGGTTCACAGGTCGATGTCCAACCATCGGAGCCATCTGAGCCACTTTCTGGCCCCATTCTGTTTTTTTTAATAAGTACAGTTATGAGTTGCCTTCTTCACTCAGATTGCATATTTTTTTAAAAAGTCTTTTAAGAGGTGATATGCTAAATAAAACAGGGTCTATTTTCTTAGGTGAAGAGAAAACAGGATAGCTTTTAAGATGATAATGACATGTTTCAAATCCTATAAAAAGTCAGTGCAGTTGTGATTTCTTAGGTTAAATTTCTTAAATGAAGTTTTTATTAACAGCCATAACGACTGTTGTAGTTTTTGTTATACTCTAACTTTTCAAAATTCACTTAAAAAGAAAAAAGCTCAAATGAAGAAATGATTGTAAAAAAGCAATTGATAGTAACTAGAACCCAGTACTCTCCCCTTTTCTTCTTACTCATGCTTCTATACTATCGCAGTTCTCGGTCACATGACTGTTGACACCCACATGCTTTGATTATTCTATAAAATCTGTTTTTCAGAAGCTATTGATTGGAATAAGTCCAGAATCACATCTTTCTGTTACCTTTTTCCCAAATATAGTTTTTATTTTTAGTTTCTGTATGTAGCATTAATTCCGGAAAACTGATTTTTAATACGTTTTTAGAAAAACAAAGGTAACTTGTTTTAAGTGGAGTGTTTTTACACTTACTCATCTCGTTTTTGCCAAGGAAGGGAGTGATACTTTCCTCAGTCATCTTTTTTTGCTTTGTATAACTGGAGAGTTTTGTAAGTTTTTTAAAAAAATATTTTACACTTCAAGGAATTTCCCATTTGCTTCAATTGAGTAATTTTTATTTGATTTGGTTGATATTCTCAAATGCTTTCGAAACCTCTCTGTTAAGTCTAGAATCTGCCACCTTGAAATCACTGTGGCTCCTTATGTCTGTCTTATAAACTATTCTCCCATCATAATAACTTGTTTTAAATAATTGTCTCTCATTTAGACTTCCTTAGCTCTCTAACTTGTGTGTTTTCTAAATCTCCTAAAGTTAATTTCACTTAGTATCACTGTTCTGTTGATATTACTGTATTCTTTTAGAGGACCAATTTGTGGAAACAGCCATTGAAGTTTCTAATAACTTTCATTTAGAGAAAATGTCACATAAATAAGGACATTGAGTACTGCAAGGATGTCCCCAGTGGACTTTCTAGGCTGATTCGAAAATGATGGCCAATGTGGATTTCCAGAAAGTGGGTTGAATGTGATGGTCCCTCTTCACTGAAAGACCCATTTGCCTGAAATTATGTTGGGAACCTGATGGAAGGGGCATCTATGAGACAGTTAGTGTGATTTTAAAGAGCCTGGAGTTTGAAGTTAGGTAGAACCTGTGCTAGACTCCCAGTTCTCATTTGCTATTGAGTCCATAGGTCATGAAAATGAGAGTCTGTATCTAAAATATTGAAAAAATATTGCTTTTTGTTTTAACTGCCTACCCTACATTGACTGTGTATGTTTGTAGGAATATTGTAGAGGGTGGTATATTTCCTGCTTCTAGGTTTAAGGACTAAAGAAAGACAAGCCCAGTTCTTACAACTTTGTTTTGTGGCCAAGTTTTTCTTCTCTAATACTTATCTTTCATCTTATACCTTATTTTTATTTCTCATTTCCTTCTCTATCTATCTATCTATCTATCTATCTATCTATCTATCTATCATCTATCTATCTATCTATCTATCTATCTATCTATCTTTGCTTAGTTTCTTCTCTCTTCTCTATTTTCCACACCCCCAAGTTGCAAGACAGGGGTAACGGGAATCATAGTTTTTTGTTTTTTGCTTTTTTATCCCTAACTTCCACTCCTGACCTTTTGAATTGTGCCATCTAGGTATAAATTCATCTACTTCATATGGTTTTGATAGCTCTATATTGTAATGTTGATAATAAGTTAGATAGAATGTGAAAGTACGTACAAAGTTGCTAACGCTTTTAACTAAAGGCTGATGAAATGAATTCAGATGTTGACTCATTTAATGTATAAAATTAAAGAGATTGATTCACTTGGGGATGGGCAGTGTGGATTATGAATGGAGTAAACCATTAGCATCTTGACATTCACTTCGTTTGTGCCTAAGTGACTCACTCCCAAGAAACACTCTGGGGGTCACATTCTTCCTGTGTCATTTAGAAACTTTCCTTTCCTGGGTTGGTACTACTCTGTAAATCATACCCCTTTTGGAAGAGAACAGACTTTCCTTGGCTTTATATGCTATGGTCTTGTGTTCCATGTCTTCTTTTTTTTTCACTCAAAATAGTCCAAACCTCAGTTTTCAAATGGCTTTTATTTAATGTTTGAAGTTTTTGTTTAGCCACATACAAAAATACCTTTCACTGTGGATCAGTTTTTACTGTGAAACTTTAAATTTTAAATTTGCAGGTGATTTCCTTAAATAGTCTGTAATCTATTAAAAAATGTACGTAGCATGAGCAAGTCGCTTGTCCCTTAAGAGATTTTAGAAGAAAATGAACATTGAATCCTAAGCTTAGGAAGACTTCAGGAGATCCTTTGCTCCGCCCCCTGCCGTTGCCTCTCTTTTGCCTTTGAACAGTTCACAGAGCGCCCACAATCTCTGTAGGCAGTCTGCTCCACCAGGCTTTGCCATATGGGAGAGGACTAGACCTTCAGTCAAGGAGGTAAACGGGGCAGCTCCCCCCACGCCGACCTGTCCCTTCTCTTAACTCACTAATGTCAGATTCCTCACTCTATCCATTTTCTAGCATTTGAAGGATCTGAAGATGGGGGAATATGGCAAAGAAAGGAAATGAAGGAGGAGAGGAACAACACTAGGACATGCTCACCCTGTCCATTAGTGCTGAGAATGCAAAGTAATTTTATTTTCCATAAGAAGATTTATTTTTTACTTCAGCCTTCCTTTTTTACTCCTTCTGCAGGTCTTTTTAGTAGCCGAACCTATTTTGATTATGGCCCATTTCCTATTGTTCATTATCTTTTTAATAAAGAATACTTTATTTCAGGAAAGAACAGTGACGTGTCATTGAGTGAGTGCTTTTATCAGGCACCATTGCAGGCATTTGCATTCATTATCTCTAAACTCCACAACAGCCCTGCCTTGGTCGGCAGAGGTGATACTCTCATTGCACGGAGTTGCCATTTGGAGCCCAGGAAGCTTTGTTTCTCAAGGTCGCAGAGTATTGCTGGGCAGACCCTAGGTCTCCGTGGTTCCAGAAATTACGCTATTTCAACTATGGTTTCACTTTACAGTGTCAGATTTCAGCAAGTAGCGTTTTGGTAAATGGGTGACTGCAGCATTCATATCGTTGATGAGTTTTCTGAGTGATAAATCCATACAACTGATCCCAGCTTCTTCTCCTCACCTCCCGTTCTTTCCAGATTTCATATTAGTAAGAATCAGCTCATAAGTAGAATACGCGACCCTGCAATTAAGGCGAGCATATGATGCATTGTGTAAACTGGGGCACTTTTGAGAGTGCAATGGAGTGCTGTTCATGAACTTTGCTGGAACATGAGGCATAACTCAGGAGTGTCCCAGGCAGACTAGCATGTAGTCACCCAAACCCACAATAAGAAAATTCAAGCGCCTGTAGCAGTCATTGGGGAGGAAGCGGTCCTTTGTAATATAAATAAGGAATAACTGGAATAAAATATAAAAGTCTTATGATTCTCTCATTTAACATAATCAGCGTTTACTGAAAAATAATTGAGACTATATCTAATGCAAAACATGAAGTATACTGACAAACAAGGATAATGTGAAATAAATTAGTACTGTATACATTGAATTGGTATCTTAGAAATGAGTAAGACCACTAATGCCTTAAGTGGCTCTGGTTATCACATATAATAGTTTAGGATTGTAAGAATTAAAACTAAGTACATAAAAAAGAATTATTTCTTCTCTTACAGCTTATCATGGATATAACCAAATGATGGAATGTCTACAAGGCTATAAGAGGGTTAACAACACCTTTTGTCAAGGTAAGGTTAACCGAATTCACTGGGATGGACTCAACAGTAGTTTTGGCTTTTTAGAAACCTGAGTTGTTTGGCCACGTTTTGCTCATTAGCCCAGCAGGTAAGGTTATACATTGACCCACCTCTTGCTCACTCCATTTAGCTATGTGGAAATATAGGGGTGTAGTGTACAGTTGCTAGAATGGCTTCATTACCATGTAAACTTTATTTCCTTCTATTAATTTGCAATGAAATCCACAGGAGATTGGATTACATTATGGATTGCTTAGTGGTCTCCATGCTAGTCACCTTCCATCCATGCATGGGTGCATGCATGTGTACACATGAGCACATGCATGTACCTAGCAGTACTACTTCTTTACTGACACATGATTGGGCAGCAGGGCTCCCTTTTTGCTCTCAGAGTGTTGCTGGCCACCTTGAAGTGCCCAGGTGTTAAACATCAGAGTGAACACACATTAGCCAGGTAGTAGGGAAAACTAGGTAGCTAAATGTGACAGGTCCTGAGTGCTTTTGCTCACTTTATTTGGAACCCACAGCAGAATTGTACAAGCAGGGAGAGCCTCAGAGGTCATTTAGCCCAGTGTCAACACTTTGCAAACGAAGGACCTTGAAGTTCAGGCTGGTTAAGCGGCTTTCCTGTGGCTGAATACGTAGAGCTAAGCTGTAACTCAGGTGTCCCAATACCGAGTTTAGTGCCCATTTAGGACAACACATTCTGTGTGTTATTTTGTGGGATGTGCAGTTAATGCTCCTAATATCCCCTTACGTGTCCAGGATGAAAATGTTGCTATTAGTTACTGGACTGTGTGTACATTGAAATAAACAGAAACAGCTTCTAGGAGACTTACTGAACCAAAATCCATGTCAAAAACGTAGCATATGTCTCCGACTTGTGGTCTGGGGCTCTGTATCCTCGACCATGTGTTTATAAGACAGTAGATTAAGGTAATGTTATAAATTATAGAAATGGTTCATGTCACAGAAATATCGTAATTAACTGAGAATTTTCTCGAGTAAAGTATTCCATACTGCATCTGTGTAGCTTTTATGATGTGTAGAGCTTTCACTGACTTAAATAATTTTTTTGAAATGCACATACCATGTTTTTTAAAAAATTTCGCCTTAAAATATTATAAGCCCTTGTCATATGAAGGAATTTTTGGAAAGTTAGAATTACTGATCAAGGAGAGGATGTCCAAGGCACTTTTTGAAGAATGTCTGCGAACCTCAATGACACAGGAATAGTAGATTAATCAACATTATGTATGAGTCAGCAGAATTTAAGATATCATTGAAAGATTGTATTAAATGGATGAAAGATGGAATTAATTGGAAGGAAGAATGAGTAGGTTAAATAAATGAATAGATGGCTAAATGTATATACTACAGTGTAAACCAAGTTATAATTTCACAGATTTGGATAAAAAATCTCTATGAAAAGCCCAACCCTATTTTAGGATGCATTAGTAGAAGCAGAATGAGCAGAGCATTAGAAGTAATGACCTTGCACTCTGTCAGTCAGACTGAATTTGGGGTTTGGGTATTCGTGTTCATTATCTTTTGACTAATAAGGTCAACCAAGCTCGTGAAGGGCCCCAAAACCTGAGAGTGTTTAGCGTGGAGAAGTGCAGACCAAAGACACATATAATGGCTAATTTATAAACAAGCCTTAAATGTTTGTAAATGTGCCTCTAAGTGTTTGATTAACTATCTTACAAACAAGACTTTCATGAGTTGCTTCAAAAGCCAAAGTCAATAGAATGGAGCTACAAGGAGGCATATTTAGAACTACAAGTAATCGCTACTATGGAATAGCATTCCCCAGGCATTGTACTGAAATGCCTTTGGAAGTACTGAGCTTCCTGCACATAGACGTGACCCAACAGATACTTAACTATTGGCCATGGTTCTTTAGAAAATTTCTATCCTGTGCAGTAGATTAGATGATTCTGTGGGAATATCCCAGTTCTCTGATGCCGTCATTACTCTGTCTCCTGGGGTAGAGGCTGTGCATGAGAAGAAAGAAGCGACATCTTGGTCTGTCACACAAGTTTTCGCCCCTAGGCATGTGGTTTCCTGAAGTCTCCTCTGTGATTAAGCCTGTCTTCTTGCTCCATTGGACTGTAGACTGAGGAGGGTCCTTATTTATCCTTCACCCTCCTAATCCTCCATGGCTAATTATTAGAAAGGCTCAAGAGTGACAGATGCTCCTAACTTTTCTGAGTGTTAAATGACGAAGAATAGGAATGTTTTTGGGGGTGGGATAGGATTTAGACATTATTAATCCCAATTAGAAACTGAAGCATAGAGAGAGTAACTTTCCTAAGGTCACACATATGAAAAGAGGCCCAGCCAGGATTAAACTTCCAAACCACTTGTTTCTATGTGCAGTATGGCCCCCTTTACCATGTATACATATATATCTGTTAAGTATTAGTGATGTGAATACTCACTAATTGGAACAGAAGATATGCCATGTGTGCTGAACTTAATAAAAGTCAAAGAAGTTAACATTGATAAGGTTTTGTTGAATAACAAAGGATGATTATCTGATATTCCTTCTACTGGCTGGTTCAAGGTTCTAAGAGTTCGTAGTTATCAAAATACTGTCGAAGTGGAAGTGGAAATTTGCAGGTAACCACTTGCTATCTCATTTCACAAATTAGAATGGAGAATCTTTTAAACAGTACTTGCTTGAGGGTTTTTCCCCCTCTCCTGGTGTGGCTGGTATGAAGTGGCCCTTAGCAAAGTTTGTTCACACTGAGCATATCAAATGGTCATTTGCACTGATGGTCAGTAACACCACATCCTGGCTTATGTTTGTCTCAGGAGGATATTTGCAAAAACACTGTTATACTTTTTGGCACGGATTCTAGACTTAAGTATCACAGAAAGCTCTATTTCACGGTGCCTCAAGAAGCCACCGCTAAATTACACTAGAAGATTGACTCCTAAAATATTATGATTTCATTCCGCATAATCTGTTAAAATTGCTTCTGAGTGAAGGGCTTAATTTCACTCCCTTTGTGATGTGATTGGTCAGTGAAATGAAACAGAACTTTCTCACGTTACATACATACCCTCCGTTTTCCTAGAGCCTTGAAGCTTTTTGGTTCTCTTACCCTGCAGTTTTCAAAAGGAGCCCATTCAGCATCTAATTACTTCTGCATTCCACATTGTTCCTGCCGTCTCACGTCTTCTCGGCTTACCAAGCGCATTTGAAATTAAAGTGATTAATACCTAGAATGACATTATTTCCTCCAATGATACAACTTGCACTAATGTGTGCTCAGTAACAAAGAACCAACTGTGCCCCGAGTTAATTTGAGGAGCTTTCAAATAATTGCCCTCAAAGTTGGGTGTTTTGTGTTGTTTTTTTTTCTTCTCTCTAGCGGGACTGCAATTATCTTTTCAGAGGAATGATTTATTACATATACACATGGAGCTCTCAAACCTGCCCTCAACATTTTGGAGTGGTTATCATTTGCTTTGTTTCTCATAACAAACAATGCAGTTCTATTTCCTGGTGGATCGAGAGCGTCATTTGTCATTCCATGACTGCTACAGGTCTGATATTGAACGAGAATTAAATGAAATAATATATCACAGCAATGATGACAATAGGAACCTTATATGCTCATACTGCTTTACTCAAAAGCTAAGTTTTCCCTCAAATTTTGAATACTCTCCCTTACCGGTAACTTTGGTGTGAGATGAGTTATTAAATTAGGTGTAAATCTAAGTTTTAAAAGTAGAATTTATTTCTGAAAGTACTTGGGGCTTGATCTGTTTAGTAAAATCTTTTATTAAAAGCAAATATCTCTTTTTTGATTTACTGAAATCACTTACGTGATGCATGAGTGTTTAGGTATAAAATCAGCTTAGTAGTATTTTCTACATTTTTGCATGTGTCCAGGTGCTGTGGGCAATGCCACAATAAACAACTAGATGGCATCTACACTTTTATAATCCAGTGTATGTATATTCTATCTTCATAGATAATCTTGAGAACTTTTAAAAATACTCACTACTACACTAACATTAATTGGCACGGGGCTCCTGAGCTGCAGACCAAGGATATGTAATGAATGATGAATAAGACATCGTTCCTGCCCTTGGATCTAGTGTAATTAAATCAGTTTGAATCAGCAGCATGTAATTTGCTTTATTCACTGTCCCAACTAGCTGGGTTTTAGCTGGCTCCCGGGAGCCCATTAAAGCAAATATGAGAGAGCTGTCCGCATAACTTTCTTTTGGCGTCACTTTATTACACTGGTCATTACGCTTCAATATAACACATTTCCAAAACAGATACAGTAGGCACAATAACACTCATTACCACAGCTTCCCCTGTAGGGCTCCTTTCAGATAGCTCCTCAAAGTGCATCTGAAATTGAATTTTTTTTTGGCCCATAGGAAAGATAATGCACGTTGTTTTCAAGGGCATATCTCGGTGTCATGAAATGAGACTCGCCGGTCTTGATTAATATTCCAGATAAGTAAACCATTCATGGGACATTTTGGTTAGGAAGGGCTTGCCTGGGTTTTAGCTTGCATCTCAGACTTCTTAATGATTCCCAGAAAAATTGATTGTGACCACAGTAGGGTGGGCACATGAAGACTGGTCTTTGAGTGTCTTGAGAAGTCTAGAAAGTGCAGTGAGTCCCTCAAGAAATCCTACTTGGCTGGAGAAGAGAATGTGGCCTATGGCATGTGCTGGGTTAACACGGACAGGTACGGTAAGATGAAGTGCTTTGTAACTTTAAGGCAAGGCTCCTATGATTGATTATATGTACCATGTACAGTAGATAGATCAGGCTTTGTGATGCATGCTGGGAAAACAGTTGCACTTCTTTTAACATGGAAATGCCCAAAGACCATTTATGACAACTCACATATTTGGATTTGTGGCTTAGATAAAAGTCATCACTTCACAATTATTTTTGAAGGTTTAATGTAAATATAGAAAGGTGTTTTTTTTTCCATACAGTTGTTAGGTA